ACACCGGGCAGTTCAGATTGGGTCGATGCCGACGTTTTTAGCTGGTGGTTTGCAACATCTCGACAGCAGTGCATAATGCACTGGCTACCGTGTTCAAATGTTGGTGGCGCTTCGACAGTTGCTTAATGTTATCCCAGCAAATGATAAAAGGGTTAGTGACAACGCTGTTGTAGACGGAATGTTACCTTCACATAAACCACCTTAGCAAAATAAGAATTCGTAACAATTAGACGGTGAAAATATGAGATGCTACTTCTGCATAAATGAGTCCGGAACAATGTCTACCAGCTACTGGAGGCTCATCGGATCTATTTGCAAGTGCGCGGCCGCCTAAGGAGTTAATTCCAGCAGAATACAGAAATAAAAGAAAGCTGAGTGCAGTGGCTTTTGAACAGATTTTATCAAATCTCATTTTATTCCATCAGCTTGGACAATTGAATCAAAATCAGTTTCGCAATGAACACGAGAAGGAATTTTACAGTATTGGTATGGGAAAAGAATCCTAGAAGTAGATAAAGAAGCGTTTAGGTCAAATCTAATCACCTATTTTAGAAAGAAAGGTGATGGAAGAATCCAGCGTGTACTATGCATTTATTTGATGAAACCAGTCTGTTTACGGCTGAATATTCAAGCGTTGTTGGTGCATTAAGCATTTTATTGACTTGACTTGAGTTCCCCGCCTTGGCAGACTTGAATGTTTAAATATTCCTTATCGCCCAGATACGTATCCGGCCAATCTGGAAAACCTTAATATGCCATCTTACTAGAATTTTTGGTATTTTAAGTATCCATGGAAACTGTGTAAATAGATCACTGACGATTCACGCTCAACCGTTTGTTCCACGGTCATGACACATTCAGTAGTTGCGAATGACTTAACAAGCGTAAAAGTATTGCCCATTAGTTAATTTCCGGTGGCCGGTGGGACTCTCTGGGACTCTTGTAACTTCGATATAATTCCACGGATGTACAGCTGAGCGGCTAATCGTACTCCCACAACGACAGAACATCAACAGATCATGGTGACTTGCTGTTATACATTTGTTTTCCTGGTGTGTTAGACTGCTGTTACCGAAAGAAATGCGGATGTTCTACGTGTGCCCTAAAGCTCGATCCACCTGAGTGTTGGCGAAATGTGGGTGGGTGAGATTTACTGTTTTATGTGAAGCTGCCGTTTGCACTAGTTGCAAAATACCCAAGACAAAATGAACCGTAATCGCTTTCAGCTCATACGTGCTTTTGACACGTCAAAGAAATTGACCAGGGGGTTCAAATTCCCTACAGGCCTTGTGAACTGGAAGCAGAGAGTGCGGAGATGATATCTGAGATTGGGGCAGCACTACACGTCTGCTGGTGGACTCGCACCAAACCGCAATCAGATCCCTCATGTATGAATTTGAAGTTGACGAGCTGCTAACAACTAGTCATGGAGTGTGAGGCATGAATCCAGTAATAGCTAGTGAACATCCAGTGGCCCTAGCTTGGCGAAAGCTGCTGCTGTCACACTCGCTTCCGTAGCAGTCATCCTAGGAATACTGTAAACTGGCTTCCATGAACTTACCTGAGCTACAAATAAAGTGGACTGGTCACTACAGCAAGATTCATCTATCGAAGCAATATAGGCAATCCTAAAGAAGTATGGAAAATGATTGTGCGCAAGATCCGTACCCCTCAATTATCAGATGGTTGCACTAATGAAACTCAAATGGTTCGACAAGTATATTTTATTTGATTAGACATTGACGTGTACTAAGGAATAAATTCAGTCCGATGGGTTCTGCCGCCGATTACGTGGTGTCATAATCATGGCTGATTTCACGCAACCGTAAAAGAGTCCCAGAGAGTCCCACTGGCCACCGGAAATTAACTAATGGGCAATACTTTTACGCTTGTTAAGTCATTCGCAACTACTGAATGTGTCATGACCGTGGAACAAACGGTTGAGCGTGAATCGTCAGTGATCTATTTACACAGTTTCCATGGATACTTAAAATACCAAAAATTCTAGTAAGATGGCATATTAAGGTTTTCCAGATTGGCCGGATACGTATCTGGGCGATAAGGAATATTTAAACATTCAAGTCTGCCAAGGCGGGGAACTCAAGTCAAGTCAATAAAATGCTTAATACACCAACAACGCTTGAATATTCAGCCGTAAACAGACTGGTTTCATCAAATAAATGCATAGTACACGCTGGATTCTTCCATCACCTTTCTTTCTAAAATAGGTGATTAGATTTGACCTAAACGCTTCTTTATCTACTTCTAGGATTCTTTTCCCATACCAATACTGTAAAATTCCTTCTCGTGTTCATTGCGAAACTGATTTTGATTCAATTGTCCAAGCTGATGGAATAAAATGAGATTTGATAAAATCTGTTCAAAAGCCACTGCACTCAGCTTTCTTTTTATTTCTGTATTCTGCTGGAATTAACTCCTTAGGTGGCCGCGCACTTGCAAATAGATCCGATGAGCCTCCAGTAGCTGGTAGACATTGTTCCGGACTCATTTATGCAGAAGTAGCATCTCATATTTTCACCGTCTAATTGTTACGAATTCTTATTTTGCTAAGGTGGTTTATGTGAAGGTAACATTCCGTCTACAACAGCGTTGTCACTAACCCTTTTATCATTTGCTGGGATAACATTAAGCAACTGTCGAAGCGCCACCAACATTTGAACACGGTAGCCAGTGCATTATGCACTGCTGTCGAGATGTTGCAAACCACCAGCCAAAAACGTCGGCATCGACCCAATCTGAACTGCCCGGTGTCGAAACCGCTGAGGGTAATTAACATATTTCAAGGACACATGCACCGCTTGCGTCCTCACGTCGTATTCACACCCCCAGACATGCGTGGGTGAGTAAATACAGTAGACTTACATGCCATTGGTGGGTCGGCAAATTAGTGCGCTCCAATCTACCCCTGACCTGCGCGGCGACTGAGCAAAAACGAAAGACTTATCAAACGTACGGTAGTATCGAGCAACCATTTCAAGAGCTACAAGTAACAACAAACAAAAAGAAATGAAACTAGGCGTCGCGATCCGAATACAATGTGTACTCGGAAATCGAACAACTACATGTGAGATAGTTATCGGTAGGCAAATTCGATGTTTAGGACAGAATAGATACGGAAAGTTGACAAGTGTCGGAAGAAGATGCCGAAATAGTCACCTAAGTTGAATTATATGCCCGAACGACTGGACTAAACGTGTGTATTTTCAGTGTATAACAGAGGCAGACCAAAAATAGCACGAAGCAAAGTTGTCAGGCTGTAGTACGGCAGACAAAAGAGCGGTACCTTCCGATCAAACTGTAAGAGCCGTCGATTACATAAGGGTTCGGTCTCGGATAATCTTAAAACGCATATGATAAGTGATGGACAAAGACGATCCGTAAGATCCGTACACAAGGTGCTCGACAAAGCCAGTCGCCGGAAAATTGACGAGCAAGTAAGTAACAAACCAACAAAACCCGTACGATATGAGTACATCAGTGAGTCATCGTTCTACACGTTATGCAGAGGTGTGAAATATCTTTGATGTTGTACCGCAACCTCAACCATTGTATCGGAGTGAGTTATTGTGTCAGACTGAGGGCATTCTGACATAAGGATTAGTGAAAAGAGTGGTACGGAGCTATTGGGAGTAGAATGATGGAGTTGATTCAACTCGAATGATTATATGCGCTTGACGTTTATATGCGGATGATATACCAGCTCCGCCTGCGTACGATGGGAATGTCCACAGGACCTTACCCACCCATTATATCTCGAGTTCAAGAGCCTGCTAATCATTACCTAGGAAGGCAAAAGGTATACTGTCTGTGATAATGCTAAAGTTAAACGGTGATTCTATGATGGAAGAACGGGTTATGGACAAGCAAGCCCACCCCGTGTACGTCAACTACGCAGGCGCACCAGAATTTCAGATCAAAGATGCGCATGTTGAAAGAGCTGGGTTGGCTCCGAATCAATCGTTGATTCCATTCACATGCATCTCACATCATAAATGTTGCCGGTAGACGGAGCTTTGGGTCGGTAGCGCAAGTCAGCCATGGTCACTATGAAAGCGCAGGCGTCTTGTGGCCATTCGCGAACAAAGTAACAGCTAAGCCCGAGAGCGAACACAACAAGCCGAAAGTTACAATCATCGCCCGTTTAGTGCTGGACCGTTGGGCATGTCAGGATGACCGACTGCAATCCACGTGGCGGACGGAAAGACAAACGCGAAACAAAAGCTAAGCACCAGTCGAGTGAAAAACGGGGGGGGACGGAATTGCGCAATCCAAATGGAACCGAAATCATCACTGCCGATTCTTTCTGGTCCTTACGTAGCGCTCTAACTGACGGGTGAGGCTGGCCTTCAGCTTGTTATCGTTAATCGCACATGCAGAATGGTTAAAAGATACCCAATGAAACATATGGAGTCCTCTGAGGGAAAGCTGGATGCACTGGTGACATCACAGCAGTTCATAGACGTTTGAAAGTTATTGCAGATATTCTGCATGAGCCACATAAACTCACAGGCAAATGTAACATAAACTCAGTCAAGTCTTCCGTAGGTAGGCTTCAAGACTGCCGTTCCTGACAGCCTCAGCGAAGGCATTACGAAAAGTGCATTTTGGTGCGCTAAAAAGATCAGTGACTACGGCCTATCATCGTCAACTGCGAGGCTCACACATATCCATCGGAATGCCAATACTGTAAAGTTTTGCCAATCCAGAATGGCTGTTTTGCAGCTATTGGGCTGGATCCAGATAAGCGTGCTATTGTCTTAGTCCGTCTCGCATAACGTGAAGACCGCTCAATGAAAAACCGAATACACTATGCAAACGGCTCAGTATGGAGCGGCCTAAGGGCACGCCACCGCCCTAGGGCTGTTCGCAGTCACAGTGACAAGCAAATCCAGAAGTGATTATAGCCAACCATAAATATGTGATTGGTGCTAGTTGATAGAGATTAAAAGCGCACACAATGAACTTCTGTTTCAACTGACCTGCCGCCTTAGCTGTGCATACTGCTGCTTGACCAGGGCCAGTTGCTCGGTCAATTCAGCGGACCGTAGACACTGATCCTCTGCGATTTGTTCTAATTCGGCCAGTTCCCGAGCAGCACGCCGCTTCAAATGTTTACAGCTGCGCTGTGATACAGCCAGAGCGGCTTTGGTGCGTGCAAGCTCCGATCGAACATCCCCGGAATCCAATTTGTCTTCAGAAGGCGCGTGTTGAGCTGCTGTTTTTGAGTGAGCAGCACGTGGAGCTTTCATCGAGTGGTCATCAGCTAGTAAAGATAAGCAGATGGATTCTGATAAGTCTGGTGATATTATCTAAGTCTATTGCATGGAAGTGGGTAACTAGACGGTGAACAAAGACTCGAAAAGTTGTGAAGCATCAGTACAGATTAGTTTTACATGAACAAATTAGAAAGATGCAATCGCTCACTTTCCAAAGACAAGCTACCCTTCAATTCGGTGTGGCTTGATTCCGAATGGCACAACTCGGTCGAGCGCGTCTACCAAGCACAGAAACAGGTGAGCAAAAGGTGATCAGCGATAAGGAAAAGGGAAAAAACAGAACATCGTGAACGAAGATATCAAAGTCAAGAAGTAGAAAAGGGAGTAGCGGGAGTACATATTGTATGGGCAAAAACCGTTTATGCGGCTCTACGGTATGGTGTAATGGGCACCAAAAGATGAGCAAATAAAGAACCATATTGAGTACTACTGCAGCTGGTAGAAAATGGCACTTAACGGACACAGAAAAATCTAAGCAAGCAATCAGACGGGGAGTCCAAAGGGCCATGGTTTCAAGATTAGATTAACGTGCAAAAATAAACAGTCAACAGTCAACTTCTGTGTGTGACGTCCAGTGAGAATGACCAAGGAACTAAATTACAATACAAATAATTATGCATTGAATACGCCTACCCTTAGTACATACAGCCACTATCCAGTAGCACCGTATTCAAACCGTTGTGCAAACAGCTAACTTTACTATGCTAAGTGTGCTATGTGTGAATGTGGATCGGGTGTCGGTACAGTAAGATGAAAAGGTCAACAAAATGAAAGATTTCCGACAACCGAAGGGAATGGAAGCCACTAATCTCCGAGTTATATTGAATCCAATGGGCTGAAGTTCTAAAACCACCATCTGTAAGTTCGCGAGTAGTGGTCCACGACGATGGGCATATAACAATTTTCAGAAAGTGCGGAAACAGATGATGAATGTGGGGGGAAGTAAAGTAACAAGAATTAAACGCGAGAAGTAAGCTTGACGTAGAAAAGAGACTAGGTCACAAACGAATGCATGTGGTTAAAAGATAATAAATATGCACTGATCTGGTAAACATTTCGCCGCCCTCAAAGACCGAAATATGTCGGTGGCCAGCTGCTTATGGGATTGTGCAACGATGACTGGGTGAAGAATATTCATGGATGCGATTAAACAGAAGACAATCACACGCTGAGCAACATTCACTCGTTCCAGTTAGCCAAAACGTCTTGTATGGGTGGGAGGAGTGGGTATTACAGACAATAAGTGACTGGAGTATTCAATCAGAAATAGAATGGCCAACATGAGAAAGCGTCATTGTATTGTGCTGTCATAGTGAGCTTAGGTTACCAGGTATGCCTGAGGCCGTCTTTGCGATAGCCTAGCATCGAATGGTTTAGGTGGCGATCCGCATGACGAGGTGAAGGAATGGGTGACCTAAAGAAAACAGAAAGAGACGAGGGGCGAAGCAGAGGAAAGGTTGAACGAAGTCTGAGAGCCGAATGCATTCATCGGGAAGAGGAATATGTCTCCATGAGCAAGTTAAGCAGGCTGTGGGACACCACCCACTTCAGAGTACCGAGTTTGCAGCAAAAAAGTATCCCGGGACTTATGAAGCAATTTGCCATCTGGATCTTTAAAAGTGCTTCAACTCCTATCCATAATATGCGATGGCACTGGTAATCAGTTACCACTCCCCAAAAGGCCAGAACTAAGATACATAAGAAGGGAAATCCATCACTCACCTCATTTTGCCAAATGTTCCCGTGTCTAGCCTTATCCGGAAGAGCAGGTGTGCCTTGCGAGACAAACTCTCCCGTCATGCACTGTACACCAGCAGTGCGCTTGATGGTCCCCTCAGCACGAATGGCCATGTCAAAGCTGCTCAATTCGTGGTTCAAATTGACGGAATGCATCCGCTTTCTGAGTAAACGAAAAATAAAAAATAATAAGGTTACCTCAAAACCACGATGGGAAACGCAATAGGATACTAATAGATAAACGTACTGAATGCACTCGACTTCGGAGCGCTGTTCTTCAAGTTGCCTCTTGAGACTGTCGTACTCTTTTTGGCTGGTAGCCCGATCCTCTTGAATCTGACGAAGGCACTCTGACTCAAGCTGGGTGTTTGTGCGAAGTTGAGCCAACTCTAACTTGGCTTTGGTGATCGCCTCGATTAGTACAGGTTCTTTCCTGTCGAGGAGAAGCGAAAGGTACACAACTCCATGAGACATAACCGAGATGCTTGAAGATGAAAAGAACGAATGCCAGATGAAATCTCGAGCTACAAATGATGTCGTAACAGCAGTGCGGTGAGCGTGAAAACAAACTAACCGATGAAAATGGGGAATGTGACAGTGGATGGTATTCACTAGGATTTTCCTGTTGCAATGACCGAGGCCATAACTACACCTAAATGAACTGACGGCGCTTTGTTCACACATTAGAGTCGGGCCTGATCTGATAAGAACAACAGGAAATGCAGTGTTGACAATAGGTAACATCGAAAACGCTTCCCTTCAAACACACTCCCGGTGATTGGAATGGTTAGAAGCTAGATAATAGAGAGTGCGTGCTACAATTCAAACACACGGTGGATACTACAAAAATCTAACAATAAATAGGGAGACACATGGTTGAAGAGAGGCGGAATCGCTTTGCGGCCAGACTGCACTGTATAAGGACACATGCGATGGGCTCCAAACAGCTGGAAAGTCGCCAATCTAGTGAAAGCGAGGCAGATCCTTCTTACTCCTTATGCCTTGTAGTTCGGTATGCCTGTGGAATCATCCTCCAAGCAGACATTCGAGTTCAACCACCACTAATCTCCTTGTGTCTTTCACACTCAACATCGCGCATATTGGCAGTACAGAGAATTGACATATATTGCAACATTGCTTTAGACCCAAATTGGATCCCAGTTGCCATATCGACGCAAGTTCTCGCTTTACAGTCGCTAAGATACTTGTATGCCGAATACGGAGAAAATGCAGCGAGTACAGATGCCTCTGTGTAGCTACATCTATTATCGTTTAAGCAAATCTGCGTATACAGCCACTGTTGATCCGACACACGCTTCTGGCCCATCCTTCGCAGCGTTCTTGAGACAGATATCAACCAACTGGGTCTTATGGTCCGCAGTGCAAGTGCGGTTGGAAGTAGGCGTACCATGTCGAGATTGCTTCTGTTCCTATTCGGACCAGTGCAAGCAATACTTGCATATTAAAGTAACTTTAGCACACAGTAACAAACCATGTGTTAAACCTGTGTAATGGAGAACACCTAATTGCGAGTGCACTCCAGCTAACGACCGTTGGGAACAATTTGCCGCGACGCACCTGACTTCATAAGTTGGCGCCCACTCTCGTCTTCACAACATACCCCTTGGTGAAGTAACGCTACTTCACCTCGCTACGCCTCGGTGAATGTGTAAATTTCCAGTTCGCCATGCGTAATACCAAAGAACGGACGTTGTTGGTTGATCGGTCAACCACGTTCAAACTGCTTACCGAGAGAGAAATGTGTTAATGTTCTATTCAGCAGTGTTGTAGAAGTTCGCCACAGCACTGAGTTGGCGTAATGAAATGGCATAATGTTGCTCAACACACTTCGCTGAAGGTTGATATGCATATCACTTATTCGATCCTAAGGAGGGGCGAGTATCTATCACAATGCAGTAGGACTGGACCAATACTTGAGGGAAATAGACGCATGTTGCGAGCATGTGATTTCGGCTAGACGTGGCAATAAGCAACCAGCACTTTAGAGAAGACAGAAGTACACAGTTTGATATGCGTACAGACGTCGATGGCTAACCGGTACCCTATCGTCCCAAACGAGTACCTACAATAAATGATCATGAAAGTATTGAAGACTGAGGCCAGTACACGGACCGGTGACCATCCTAAGCTGTGTGACTGCGCCGTACACGAAGACAAAGTCAACAGTGCACGTAGACTAAAGTAGAATAAGATGCTGACTCCAAAATAGTAATGGTCATCAACCAAAGATCGGCAATCATGGGATTGAATAATGAATTTCTACGAGTTTTGAGATCAAAACTAGCACTTGGAAAACGGTAAAACACTGGTCGACAATGGCAGTCTATTCGTTTCCGACTGTCGTCCACATAGAATTGAATCAAAGCTTCCCTTTAAGAAAGTGAGAAAAGGGACGAAAATCCCAGTACATGACAAAATCTACAAGGTAACGAAACGGCTGATTAATTCCAGACATATGCGCTCATCCAGCTGTCAGAAACGCGGTAAAAAAGTCAACATACAGACGAACCTTTCTAGTTCATCCAACTTGTGTTTCAACCTGTCCAGATGAGACCCAATCATATCGCGGTCTTCTCGCAATTTGCTGAGCTCAGCCTCAACGGTTTTGCGCTCGGTCGCCAAACGCTGTAATTCCACACGATCGCTTTCTGCCTCTGAGCTCTAGGTAGAAATAAGGTGGCAAAGAGAGACAAGCATGAAGCAACCACACGCATTCGAAGATTGTGCCTCTGGAGCTGTGTCAAAACTGCTGACATAATAGTCACGAATGCATGAGCGCCAGCGACGCCGTGACAACTGCAAAGCGTCCCACATGGACGTAGCCATGAATGTGACGGATCTAGAAGAAAACGCCAGACACCAACCGGACTGCGTTTTCGATGGGATACCTCATGCTTCTTTTATCGCACCATTGATTAGACACCTGAGGGTTTCACAAAAGTGGACGTAGTATACGCAAATAATATACACCAAGCAACCGGATTGCAAGCCCGCAGAGCATCTGATTTATCCACCGAAGACAATTCCGCCAGTTAGATAGATGCACTAATGCGAAATCAGAAGGTATGTTGCTAATCGACAGATAACGAGTCTCAGTGCTGTTGTTAGACATCCGGTGCTCCTTCTAGACAAGAGCAATACTTCACAGGCATCCGAGATTGAGTGCTTCGGTGATACACTTAAGTACAGATGAACAGAGTAAGCAAAGGAATAACCGGTGGGCAGAAACAGGTGCTAGTAAATAATAATAATAATAATAATAATAATAATAATAAGACCTATATTTCACTTGATCCGAGGAACTGTGTCTGTAACGGTACAGAGCAATATGCACAAGAGTAACTATGTTTTTACATGGGCGATACGTATATATGCAATATTGGGGTTTGAGATTCATATAATAGCGAATTTCACGAATTCAGCTATGTCGCGGTTCTAGTGCAAGTAGATGGGAATTGGTTTTTTGTGTAGCAGGAAGTAAAGCAGCAAATAGGTATGCTTCAGTCGTCGCATCCAAAGTGTTTCGAGTTGAACATGTTTGTGACGCTCTCTAGCGTGTAAATCACACAAGACGCAAGATCACGTAACCGTTCTCAGAAAACAATAGTTGATGTAATGTGTCTGCTAGTTTCGGTTCCCCCATGAGGTGGTTTTACTGCAGCATCAAACACAATAGTGATGTGTTAATAGAAGCGACTGTGACCAAGGTGACCTTTTCAGTGGCAGTTTGGTAGCGAGGGCGATGAGTTTAGGGGGCAATACGTGGGTCGGGATATGCCGCTTGCTGGTAGCTCTCACTCAAAAGCAATGCAATGGAATAAAACTAATGAGGGACCATACTTGGGAGGGGGGCTATCCCCCCATTACGCGCACAACTGTCCGTTCTGCCAGACGTAAGGGATGTAACGAAAGAACACCTGCAAAGATAGTAGTCGAAGAGGACGGAGTGTTGACTTATGTCGACATACTGAAAACCACGGAATCAGCTAAGCCTGTAGGGGGTTTATAAGGGTAGTAGCGTCAACAGTTTACACCCCGCGAACCGGCGTCCAGGGCGGAAAAGAGGGAGTATGCCCGGTAACACAACTGCGGTGACCATAACGCCATTAGAACACCATCCATCAACACACATTCTACATAATGGCATAGAGATGAGAAGTCCATTGGTTATTGTACCGTACACGGAGCTTCACCTCGATGCGGCAGGAAGCAGATGAGCGGGCATGCGGTTCACGTTGGATAATAATAATGGGAGCAGCGTGTGTGATGAGGAAAAATGGAGAACGGACAAGTAGGCGAAACAAACAGGTGAAGGATGTGCATGCAGTTAATAAATAAATGCTTCTTCCCAAAAAATCAAGGCACGACATATGGCATGATCAGCATGATCCCTAATAGATTCAGTATGGTCGGCAAAACAGCCCTATATTGCCCACTAAGTATTATTTGCAAGAGATCAAGGGATTCAAAAAGTTCGAGTGAGTGTAACGGAAAGTGTATTCATTTCAGCCACTTGCCACAGATGAATTGGGATGCCATTGTCTGATAGACCTGTCATTTCTTCAGTAGGGCAGCAACATATACGACGGTAGAGAATTGGATATGATTCATTGCAGTTGGTCATCATGTACTCACGTCTTATGACAGCTTGCGTTGTAGCAGAATCTTACGTCTCCGTTTAAAATAGTAAGACGAAAGTTTCGGGTCTATCCATAGGATCGGATGTTTGGTGGACTGTTGATGAGGTTAGAAGAGACAGTACGAGCGTTCAGCGCACCTCCAAATGTTAGTCGGTATATGACGGGATCCAGTTGTGAGAAAATTACATCAAACCCGTGTAAAAGGTAAGTGGCAAAAGTGAAGGAGTGAGGGGAAAAACAAGTGAAGAAACAAGGTAACAAAAGTGCAACGGTTGGAGGATGGTAAGAGGACAGCCGTAACGCTCAGATGAATATAAGTGTATCAAGAGAGTTGCTCCAGATGGCAGTAGATACTTGGCCCAGCGATATTGCAGGTGAGTTGCAGAGGTGAAAACTTATGAGGATCAGGTGATAGTTGTGCTAAGTGTCATCAAAAAAATGTATGGTCACCATGAACGGGGCGTGCAAAGTGATAGAATTTGTAGTCGAAGGTACAGTCATGTGACCAGGTATAACGTCCGAGTGTATAACACAATGCATGCTTCAGAACGCAGTACAAAAGGCTTACCTTTTGTGACGTAATCCTGTCACGTGCCCGAAGTCTTTCGGATTCTTCGCGAGCCTGTGCGCGTAACTCGTCCAACTGAGTAACCAACTCGCGCTGTTGAGCGAACAAATCATTCAAACGAGTCTCCTCTGAACGCTTTGCATCCGCCAGATCCTCTAGTTCCGTCTTGAATTGATCCAACGACGACGTGATCTCGTCAAGCGACTGAAAGAAGAAGAAAACCAGTAGAAAATTTAGGGCTGATTGATGGACATTATTTAGCTACCTCAGTTGATTAGTGGTTTTTAATCCGTAGTACAACGCACGAGTAGACGAGATTCGGAGTGTGACAAATGATATATTCAATCAGTTAGATGGGAGTTTCTAACACGTAGATAAGAAAGTGCTTTTTTTATGAAAATTTACAAAAGTTTGCCCACCAACATCAGAACATCTGTGGAAAAGATAATGGAATTCAAAAAGACCAACCTCCTGTTTCTGTCGTATTTCGGAGTGCAACTGATCTCGCTCTGCTTTCAAAGCTTCAATCGAGGTCACGACCTGCGCCTTCTCAGTCAGACACGAATTAAGCAGTGACTGTGGGCAAATAAAATGACGAAGTGATGAGAAACAGAGAGTTTGAAACGAATGCATGCAAGCATTTACCTTAAAGTAAGTGCGACTGTATGAGAGTGTTAAGTTTAAGGGTTGAATGAAACCCTTGGGTAGAAGAGTAGTTAACATCGCGTGCCCACTTCTGGACAAAACAGTCCAACAGTCTGCTCTAACAACGGCATAAGAATGTATCGCACTTCCAGAAGAGAGGAGCGAGTTCAGAATGAGCCCGTAGACCATCAAACTGCAGCGCTTGCTGGACACCGAATGAAAATAAATGAAAGTAATACACAATATGGACGGTGGAGTCGGACCGAAATTTCACACAAGTATACACAAGGCTTCGGACTTGTTCTAGTGAACCACTACGATCCCACGATGAAAACGAAAAATTGTCATGTGTACCAACCAAAGGGGATGAGATATTTACCGACAACAGTCAGGTATTAACAGTGATGTAGGTGACAGACAAGCGGAAAACCTATACAGACAGCGTTTGCAGGGACATTTGTTGGACCAGAAGGGAACTCCTAGAAACCTAGACAATCAAGAGTGCAGTAAAACCCGAGGTGCAAGTGGTAGAGTGGTTCCTTTTTAGGAACCCAGGCCAAATGAGTGCTCCCCAGCTCGAATGGGGTTACCACGGTGGTACTGACAACACTAGCAAGGTTATGCACTATCGTCAATTGCCGATAGTAGAGGCGGTAAGGTGACCGACAATGATATGTTAATGTACAAAAAGGCAACAATGTTCCTCGGAGGCAAGTCCTGCTGACCTGTAGATTTAAGTTGGGTTCTTCGGTAACAATCTTAACCAGACAGCCACCAGCTGCCAAGGAAGGCATAAAACACAGTGCTACATCATTGCGTAAGGGGTTGAAAACACGGGGTCACACCAACAGCCGATACGATCAAGTGATGATGCAGCAAGCTTACACTTCATCGACCCACACGTTACTGATTCATATAAGCTAGTAATCAACAAACACTGGTAGATAGTGCAACAACGTAGACAGCGACTCGATTAAAGGACATGTCGTTCTCGAAATCAATCCTGTCACACACAACAAGAGAAGAGCGAATAATGGGGCAACTTTAGGAGTGGAAACAGGTTACAAAAAACGTTTCGTTAATGTAAGATACAATACGATGAAAATTGGGCCGTTTTCGATTTTTGCACTTATGTCAATGCTAGGAGAAATAAAAACGTGTAAACCCCTGCCAAGAAAACATAGTTGATCATTTTTCGCATCGCATCACGCGGCCTGTTTATCTTGTGACCTCTGCAAGTGGGTGTGAACTCTTCAAGTCATAATTTTGAAACGCATGTCTCCACCACAATTAGGACCGCGCTGTGGAGGCGGCAAAATACTTAACTATGCCCGCGGCGGACCTGTACGCTATCGGGCGTGTCCCTAGGTTGCGGAACGGGGAATGCCTTCTTTGTGGAGGTAAATGCGAATAAGTCTCGTCTGCTTTGCAGGTGAGATGAACAAGCAGTCGCGGACGATCAGCGGCAGCGCCTCAGAGCGTGCGGAGCTCGTACGGCGCTGTGCCAAAGCCAAAGTGACCGCCTATAGTGTCACTGACCATTTACTTCTGTAACTGGAGGTGAGTGTCTAACACAGTTGCTGGCCACCGGCTTCTCTGTGAACTGCAACCGAACATAAAGAAGGCAAACGAGCCACCTGGCTGTCAAAAGCCTTCGTATTCGCTCTACTGCCTTACGGGTCAAGTTTTCAAAACCAAAGGCTCGATGTGGGGTCCCATAAGTCAACCCTCTTCTTCGGCCTGAGCAACTGGAAAGCTCACTGCCCACACAGCACAGGAAGATTTACATCACTTTCCCTGACCTACTCTTTTCCTTCTTTTTGTCGTTGTTACTCATGTGTTGTGGCACTCTGTCAATTGTTTATTAGCCAAGTGATATATATATATATATATATATATATATATATACACTCGAATATGATTAAGGTTCCTGCAATTGGCTTGATGTCGCGTTATGGAGAAATATGCAATGTCCTAGGCTATACTATACCATACGGTGGCATCTCTGTTATACTATGAGGTTCTACATGTTACGTGACCACAACAAAGACAGCAGTTAGCGAGAAGCACTCTAAAAGATATGTAGGGTAAGGATTAAAATAACGCGTGAAGGCAGAGCATATTGTACCTGTGTTTCGAACAATTCGCGCTGCTGAGCAGCGGTTTTTGTTGTCAGTTCAAGTGAATTGGAAACCGAATTACCAATTTCACGATGCTTCTCTAATCGGATCAAATCGAGCTGACTGCGTTGTTCTCCGGCTTCGCGAGCCAAAGCGATCAATCGGCTTTGGCTTTCCTCAATCTGTGGATGAAACAGAGTAGAGGGGAGAATGTGGTGTGATGAAACCCATGAAGAGAATGTGAATAAAGCCTGGAACTTCGTAGTAGGCGGCTATCGACATGATCCCTAGGTCATTGAGCTCCGCGAGGAGCGCTTGACAGAACGGTTAATTGAAATTTCAGCAAAACAGAAGGAGAGCATGCGTATGGCGGCAGTTACCAAAGGAAGGGCTTCGATTTAAAGCAGATCACACAAAACAGTGAGTAACTAACAGAATGAGAACATAAGCTTTGGTGATTGTGATGGTCATAAACGTAGTGGAGCGTGCCCGGTCACAGATAGCCAGAGGCGTAGCGAAGGGGTGCCGATCCGCCCCGGGCGGCAATTTTAGTACAAATGATTGTTCAATACCAAGTGTAAACGGTGAAATTTCCAGATAAGCCGATGGTTGAATATTGCAACATAGCTCTGGATAATCATAAATACATTTGCGCCTGTTTATTTCGTTTCTGAGCATTTGAACAAAACAAATGGATCCTTTGAACTTTCGAGCTTCATACAGAAAGATCATCTTGGGAATTGTGTACCGAATATTTCGATGGTGCTGCGGATCTGTCCTACCCGAGCTAGTAGCATTGACACATGTCAGCTTTCATTCACGAGACTCACGCGGATAAGGAGCTACTTCGATCAGCAATGAGACAGACAACGCTCACGGACTTGGTAGTCCTTCCCATACAGGGGAACTAGACGATGGGCAAACATTTGATAGGGTTGTCGATAATTTCACGGCGAGTAAAGCACCATAAGAGGATCTGAAATTATGTATGGAGTATTGTAATAATATAAATGCCTACACTTACAGCAGTCCTCCAAAGTTAGGTCTTTTTTGTTCCATGAGACGAAATATTGAAGAGCTGCTGGCAATTGTGGGAGTTTACGAATTTACAACCGCTAAGGGGAGGGACAAAAATCTCACGAGTGGCAAAGGCATGTGTCAAGCCACTGGGCACAACCACAAGGATTATACACTAAAATGTCCCGAAAGTAATGTGAAGATAGACAATAAGCTCGAGAAGACGGGTTTATAAATAGGACAGGACCACTAGTTTGCTGATCAGCAAGAGGTGGAGATGTGGCAGTGAAGGATAGGAAGAAGATCAGCCGTAGGCTCAAAAGGAAAACGACAAAACTAATCGGCTGCCAACAAGGCAGATCAGAGTGGCAAATTCGGAATAAAGGCTTAGAGGGTGAAAAACAGAACTCGTGAGTATTGGTGTCGAACTGACAGAATGGACATGCATTGAATGAGCCAGAACATGGGATGCCCCATGCGAGGCTCAAGGTGAGATTATCACTGAAGCGGAGGGTAATAATCATGACAAGTGGAGTATGAAATAAGATGAGTGAAGCATTGAAGAGCTCGGTGACTGAGGGCCGACTTCATTGTGATGTTCGTTTCAAAACAAGCCATATGCAGATAGATCAGCTGTGTCAAAAAGAGCACCGATGGTGCTGTCCGGACTAGTGAGTCTGTTTGTCAGACATAAGGGTGCATGAAAATAAACAAACAGCGAAGCATTTTATGGTAGACGCATGAGCTGTAATGAGTTTCATTTGGCAAAACGAACAATCATAGGAAACCATTTGCCATGGCATGCAGATAGAATGCGATCATTTCTGACGCAACCGTCGGAAAGGAATACGGAACAAATGCACGAACCTGTTGAGCCAAGCGCCTCAAATCCGCCTGTTGTTTCAACACAGCAGTCTCATTTTCGGAAAACAACAATCGTTGTGACTGAATACGATGTTCTCCTTCGTCCACCTCCAATCCAAGGCGCTTCAGACTGCAACAGTAACAGCAGAGTAAATTGGAATGAATGCACAAATTGAAGGCAAGTCACAACGGGCTCGACTTTGCAGTAATCATCGAGAAGACAGGATAAATGATAATTAAGGCTGGCCATGCAGTAATGGAAAAGAAAAAAGAGGCTCCGATATGAAGAAAGTGCAAGGTACCGTGACAAAATATCCACATTCAGATGCTTGTTCCACACTAAAGTCCTATTGGGATGCTTTCGTGCCTGTTGGAGGCCAAAAGCGGGATACCTACTTCCACCGAGCGTAATGCGATCAGATAGGCTGTCAGGAGCACACACAAAAATCGGCGCCCTAATTCGCAAGAGGAGAACCCATCTGTCTAGTTTTGTAGAGCCACTCTGTGTTTAGATAGTGCAGATTAAGCCATCGACGGTTACCTTTAATAATAACGCGGGAACGATGCACAACCGTTTCTGTGCTGTTGGCATGAATGCCATGGCTCAAACTGATCTACTGCGGATACGTGGTGTAGCCATATGCTGCTCAGATGGACAGAAAGCCAAAATGTCATCAACATAGCGCCTGTAGTATGGCAGCTGGTCTATCTCTCTGGACATTACTGCACATCAGAGCCTTAGTGCCAACCTGTGGCATCTGCGCAGTGTGTCAGTCCAACGCTGCTAGTCATCGATTAAACTGTACCTATTGGTTGGATTCCACCAGTCAGTGTGTCCATTAACGCAACACCAGTTAACCGTTGATTAGACTGTCTGAACTTATGTGAAGCGTTGCCTTTGCGGCGACACAATACATTCTGTGTATTGCTGAAACTAAGGTGTTCTACTTTCGTGCGCTACGGACCGAATACTGCGTTCTACTATGTGTGGTTCAGTACGGGCCGTTGTAACACAACCGAAGAAAATGTAGGTGGTGAAGCCGAGCTTGCCGGAGCGCTAGCACTTTGTTCCAAGAATGAAGTCGCTGGCGTACTGCGTGATGGCTGTTTCTCTGATTGTGGTGCAGAACAAATCGAGCTGCGCGCTTCAGCGCACTTTGCTTTATTGATACGCTTGTCAGGCTTTTCGGCTCCTTTCAGCTCAAGCTTAGACTGACATTGCTTACAAATGGTCCTCAAAAAGTCGTGCTGAATCCCTTGAATTACGCAAAATTAGTCCAAACAGACCAATATGGAAGTTCATGCTGCATAAAATGCACGTAACCGCATTTGCGCGATGTCCAACGAGTTTGGAGAAACTAAGACAAGTGATTGTTTAAGCCATTTTAAAATTGGGCACCGATCGATACGACTAGATCAGCGTAATGTAGAAACACAAGATATACACAGAAAATACAACTAATTAGCACACATATTTGTGATGAAGTAATTCTAAATTACTAATGTGAGTGAACTACACAAATATTGGCAATAGATCGACTTCAACAATGTAAAGAACGAGGTAAACTGGCCTGATGAGGACGCGAGCAAAGTACGATCAAGACGGCGTTATCCGCATTCGAGAAAATCACTGCCTAGTTTAACAAATTTTGGATGCCCTAAGTATCTAGGAGGCAATAACTGATCTACACCGGTAAATCAGTTCACTTAGCGCTAGACTGAGCGCCATTGGTCCGTCTCATCTTCCAGGCTGGTGTGCGCAGTCCAGTCGAAATCGGTTATAAGATGCAGCTGGCAACCGGGACCAAGGTTGTGTTTCGTGTCGTCTCCTAAATAGACCGCATGTTTAAATTGTATCTGACGCTGCGTTATCCGTTGGGCAATGCTGTTTATGGTGCGAGTCAGTGAAAGCCGCAATAACGATGTCTCACTGGTGATACGCTACCCTTAGACGATGATTGGTCTTTCCTGGCCGTGAAGAGTTTACTAAGTCCAGGCCGTTTAATTCAAAACGGTTGCACAGCAAATACAGGCATTCTTCACTTAAGCACATATTTCTTATGATCTGGGTTAGCACCAATTCACCAGTGCGGAAAAGCGAAGCGTCTGCACGAGGTACAAACGCAGTACTGCAGCTGATGGCGAACAGCAGCACAACTCACGAGACTTGGTAAATAGAGAGGATAGTTAGAATTGAGCATTTAACCATCCCGAACGCTCGCATTTGGAGCAGATTGGCACGGATGCGCAAGCATTCTTGCCGAGTCAGTTGCTACCTGATTACATATTTCGTGTGCCTGATTGAATCTATGAGAAGGGGCAGTATACGAGATGAACCCATCACAAAGACGCATCAGTTAAAACGAGGAGAAAGGCAGGGAAAATGTGGTAACGAGCGTTGCCACATGTGGTTGTGTGGAAGAAAATGGTTGGAGCTGAGATAGATATAAAATGAGGTGTAAGGACAAGTCCCTGTTTATGACATGGGACAGAATCTAGTGTGGATGTTGCGATGTAGGGGTTCTGAACTAAACAGGAAATGGCTTACTTGTTTTGTACTTCAGTGACTTGAGCAGAAAGACTTTGCAACTCAGCTTCTTTTGTGGTGACTGTTTGTTCTAGTGTAGTCAGTGCGAGTTGGAACTTCTGCTTCATAGTGGTCATTGAGTCGACCTGCAAATGAGGGCCAAAAATGAGGACTGCTGGAAAACTCCAAAAGCAAGGTAAGAAGGCAAGGACGAAGAATTGATTGGCCGAACGTGTTTGGCATTATACACCACCGACCGATACATGGTTTAGTGCATACTTGCATACACTGCGCAAAGTCCGACAGGCTTTCGTGTAAACCACATGGGAATCTATGAGGGCAAACATCAAACATAAGCAAAGCGTGCTTACAGTGTGTAGTGAAGCGACCACCCCCTTGCAAGTCACCTGTTTTGCTCATATAATTCGGTAGTAGCCTATGCACCCGGGAGATAGAAGCTGCGTGACAACAAGAGCCCATTGAAACGAAAGTAAACTGCTAGACATTTTGGTCAACCTGACGCACAAGCATGCCTGGCCTGTGACAGTACACGGATCACCAGCGGTGATTGTAGGTTCAAATTTATCAGAAAATAGACATCAGCCTCCTTATCATCTACGCACCATAGCAAAAATGGAGGATACATTGCGGTCCGCTAAAGTAAGTAGGCGAAGGACTTGTCTCATTACGAGCACTCAAGTAAACTTAGCCAGTGATGATATTTGCGGCAGCAATATCAGCTCTGACACATAGAGTTGATCGCTTCGTGCCAGACAACGGCGCCACCAAGAAGGATAAATATGCAGCCAAATCAACCCGCATATGAATTGCTCATAATAACGACTAGTAAGGGCTCGATACCTTAATGAGCACTCTTCAGCACGAGGGCTACAAACCGACTGGAGCGGTTGAAATTACTCGTTAGAACGAAATTGTTTTGGTGGAGAGCAGAACATCAAAAATTCTGTATGAATCGTGTCCATCAACGTGTCTATGGTGTATCAGTGCCACTGTACTCTTGTCAGGGGATCTTTCGAGTTAAAACAAACCGGGTTAAACCGTCCAAGTACGTTCAAATACACTAACTTCAAGTGATGCCAAAGTAAAGGGGGTTTGGTGAAACTAGTGAATTCCCCGGGAAATCAGCCCAATGTCAAGAAGCCCGAAAGAAAAAGGTGCCTCTTGATAATCTCCCAACGACAGCTAAATTTCAGCCAAGAAGTTGCGCCGTAATGGTACTAAGAATTGCTAGTTCAATTTGTGATCAATCGGCTGTTTCCGAGACAGACCTGATTCAGAATTCCATTTTATAGGATGTTTATCAGAGGCAAGCATAAAATGGGGCGATGCTTCAGCACATCCGATGCCAAGCGAAAAATTGTGGAGTAATCATCATGCGCGAAAAGAGATGTGACAACCGCAAGATCTGGTTGCGTGTCGAGGGGGCGGTTCATGGATAACGGATTAACAGTAACTAAGTGCATGGGAGAGATATGTGCGATAATGAAGACTTCCAACGCGAATTCAGAAGAGTAAAACGTCAAGACAAAACACCTGCATGAATCCCGCTTAATCGTGGTAAAAGATAAAAGGTAAGCCGAATGTAGTTGGAGAGCTCTGGCGTTGCTTGCCGTTCGTAATTTAATTCTACAGGTGTTGAATCCTGCATGTAGTGCTTCAATGGCTGACGGCTTGAGCATTAGATTACTGAGGTTCACCAGCAATAGCTGCTTGGAGCTATCACATAGCGGATTCGGTAATGAACCCACTAGCCTAATGTCTGCATAAGTGATAATTGATGAGCGTTCCAGCGGACGACAAAGCGCTGCCACGAACCGAAAGACTACCAATGAATGAATAAGCAGTGCACAAGCACATGGCTCCATACGTCATGGGGAAGAGAAAGTGACCGATTCTCCTTGAATCTGAGAAGAATATCACTCACTGTATTTGACCGCCCTTTCACAAGTGTTGGAAGGAAGAGAAAATGGGGACTTTCCCTTTTCACATATTCTGCACATAACCAACTCAATGTGTATTGACTGAGTAGATAGCACGGGGACGACGGCTGAGCAAGTCAAGTCAAGAGTGTGCTTTGTGCACCCGCGAAGGATAAACATTCAAACACACATGCTCTGGACATAGATAACTAGTGAAATAGAATCTAACAAGAGGATGTAAAGTTGCGGGCACGGTGTGAGGATATGCTGGCAAAGATGTCCTTTATAGGATGCAAAAAGGACAAAATTACACTTTGAAGTGTTCAGCGATAGACAGCAAACTTTGGACCAAGCTGTGAAGCTGTCTAAGAGGCTTTGTAATCTGGCAGATGACTGTATGTTTGGATGATAGACACCCAGGATTACGTCGTCCGCTTGCTTCAGCAAGATGGCTTCGCAAAGGACAGGAATCGAGGTTACATAAGTGGAATTCGTGGCCAGTGAGGCTTGCCCCCTGGTAAATTGAGTGCGCTTGGTAAAATAATCCTTCACTAAAAGAACAACAGAAAAATGCACTCTAGCGCCGAGCAGATTACGCAGCAGCAGTACACGGTTAACGCAGCCAAAGGAAGCAGATTCGGGTGGATTTGTTTGATGAATACACAGGTTGTACGAAGCGGACCTTGAAATGTGACATACGAACTGATGAAGGTCATCCAAATACGTCTATGCTAACATCCTTCTTCTGAGAGTAAGCCACTTAAAGGTCTTCAAAGCAATCGACGTGCAAGCAATTGCCCGATAGTTGCAGGTTACTTACTCTGGCATCGGCGTGATGCTTACACTCCGCCAGTTGTCGGCCATCCTGTGTTGCTTTAGCCACACAGTGAACAATTTGGCAAAAGGCTGCGCCAGGTGACCATCACACTCCATGAGGACCATAGGAGACCGTTATATCAGGAACGGTTGAGTTGTTTAACTTCAGCTAATTAATCCCCTGTGTAATTCCACGCTATTCACAGAAGATGGGTTACCTGAAGTCAAATGTAACTCGACAGGTGATATACCAGAGGCCGAATTATTACATCCGAAGGAAAATTCAGGCTTAGTCCTTCTAACCGTCGAACGATTGCGAACAAGTCCAGATGATTCAGCAACCGGTAAAGCTCTTGAAGAATAAGAAGACGCAAATTGGGAAGCGGAACTCAAGTCAACGTACTGCACCGAGTAAATATGCAATAAAAGTTCTACTAATTGCCTGGTCAACAATGGGCAATCTATGGACCGGGGAGATAGTTCAGCTATCAAGTTGTGTATGTCAGTCTTTGTTCCTCGAAATACTACATCGTACATCCAGTGGCACGTCTAAACGTTCAGTGTGTCGGCTTGTGGGTCTTCTGTGAAGCGCAGTTGAAGAATCGCCTTCCCTACTTAGGAAACCTCATCAAGAAGCCTGTGTTCAGAGAAAACTGACAAGTTTCTGCCAGTATGTGTGTTTCATCATATTCACATCAACATGACACAAGCAGGTTCATGCGAAACTGACCGTTCCGGACGAAGATGCTTAACTGTATGTCCAGTTATTAGCTAGCACTGGTTGTAAACGACTCTCTTTACACGTGCATCCGGAAGAATACAAGTGAGGGATATACAGCTCCCAGCACTTAAGCTAACCTTTAAAGGTAACGGTGCGGTGTTTGGAACTACACGACTTTCGATCGCCGCAACCTAGAGCATTTTCTATACAATCAAAGCTATTATCGTGAGTTGCAGCAAAAATCGATGCCAGTCAGACCTAATGGTGTTTATTGCGCTTCTGCTGAAAGCCTGGATGATTGATATAAATATTTCGAGTGCGGGATCAGTCAGTTCATGGAACAGAAGATAAAGGCCTCGACAAAACCTTTAACTGAGCTCCGGAAGACAAAGCGATACTGATATGTAAACTGGACCTAATCGTACAGGTTAGTAGAAGTGATCTAGGAGAAGGTTGGATGATACCAGAAGTTACAAGAAGCCGGGAAAACAAACACGTTGGTTGGCTCCAAGTAAAAAGCACTAACGTCGGCAAACCCAAATACAGTTGTTCTGGCCCGAGTTGCAGCAAGTGCCGTCGATGAGTGCATGAGATACTCAACTATGGTATATACGCCAAGAGGATCCAACAAATGTCCCCAACGATCTCGTGTCTAGTAGCCCTAGAGTGGCGAAAGGAATTCATTGTCGTGTAACTCAAGCCGGATGAATGACAAAGGGAGCACAAAGCATAGGTGCATATTCCGGTATGACGAATGAGAGAATACAGGCGAGCAAGAAAAACGCAACAAGAAATGCATAAAACGCTTACATCGCACTGAGCCTGCTGCAAAGCGTCTTTCGCCTGCCCCAACTGGTCTTTAGCTCGTTGGGCATCCAGACGGAGCGCGTCCAATTCCGTCGTAAGTTGGACGCGTTCCGTGTTGAGTCGATCCCGATGCGCGCTGACTTCAACTGCCTGCAGAGAAATCGGTTGTGCAAACATTAGAAATACCAGTAAAGAAAGGGAAATGAAAAGCATAAACTAGCGATGGCTCTTGGACACAATATGCATGAATTAAATAGAAAACAAATAAAATTTTAATTTAGACAGTACCAACCACACCCGTTCCGGCATGCTCACTGACGTGGATTCAGGTACATACTATAGAACAAACTGATGAGAGAAAATAAAAACCGCTCAGTTATTGTTATGTGGAATAGCAAGTGAATTGTTTTTCCCGATAGAACTGAATACACCATTGCATGGCATGATACGAGGTTTGAAAAGACATGTGGACGCATCCATCACAGGCATCATGATGTTAAGCGAAATAATGTAGTATGAATGGAGGAGAACCCTCTGTGCGGGTCAACCGGATATCCGTAGAAGTTGCAAAAGGGAATCCATCGAAGTCGGTCCAGCAGAAAGGCTACTTTGGTCGGGCACGATTGTGATTGAAAAGATTAACCACTGTTAACAGAGGGTTCATACTTCTCGAAGACATTCGAACAACCTACGGTCCGATTACTGCGCTTCACTGCAACCTGACGTCAGTTAAGTCAAAGAAAGTAGAGCCATTGCAAGTATCTGTTGCAGATGATAGTCAGGAATAGCGTACTCCGAATCACAGACAGTCTAAGAGCAGCAGCATCGGAATTTGGTAAATCCTATATGGCTATCATTCTCGACCAATCGAACAACAAGCACTCATGTACAAAAAGAACATATGACCAAGGCTGTGTCTTAGCTCCTGCCCTGTTTAATATTTATCTTCGTGCAATGATGTCTTGTGCTTTTGATGCCGCTTGTGCTTACGCTGTTCGTGTGGAGCACCGTCGTTTCGGTGCGAGAACTCTAGTCTGTGAGACAACTATCCGTATGTTGCTGTTTGCTGACGACTGTGCGTTGTTTGCACACAGCGCGGATGAGTTGCAGCACACGACTAGTGCCCTGGCTTCGACAGCGACCAAATTCGGGCTCACCATCAACACAAGCAAAACTGTCTGTCTCTTTCAGCCTTCACCGAAGGTACAATCATCAATATTACCGCAAATCAGCATTGGTGCTGAAGTATTGGAAACCACCTCCCGCTTCTGCTACCTTTGGAGTGTGATGTCGACTGATCAGCAGCTACACAGTGAGCTGCGTATTCGCGTGTCGATGGCAGCGGCGGCATTCGGGAAGCTTGAGTACCGAGTGTGGAACAACCATCAGCTTACCGTTGGCACGAAGCTGATGGTGTACAAATCCATGGTACTGTCCGTTCTTCTATACGGCAGTGAAACGTGGACGATGTACCGGCGGGATGTGCGATATCTCGAGCGGTTCCATCAGCAGTGTTTGCGACGGAGTTTGCGCATCAGTTGGTGCGCCAGTTGCTGACACGGAAGAGTCGCGACGAAGTGGGATGTATGCAGTGGACTGCATACTTTTGCTGTGACACCTGAGGTGGCTCGGTCATGTGAGCCGTATTGACTCGACGCAGATACCGAAACAACTCTTATATGGTCAGCTGAGTATAGGGTAGCGGCATGTGGGGAAACCAAAGTTACCTTACCAGGACATGATCAAAGTGAGCCTCTCACGTTCTAATCTTGATTGCAGATCATGGGAATCGAAGGCAGTTGATCGGAGTGCATGGCGCGATCTAATCACGAAGGCAGTTGCCGAAATGCGGGAGAAAGACCTCATACATGCAGAGAAGAAGCGGTAAGCGCGGAGGTGGCAAGCACCGATGGGTTGTACTCCATCGACATCGAGGTCATGGTGCTGTAGCACTTGCGGTCGCGAGTGCCTGATTCAGACAGGCATAGTGTGCCATGAGCGAGGCCACTCGTGACCACCACAGAAGCGACGACTGATCATGCAGAGAATGTAGGCAGAACCGGTGCAGCGTTTGTAGGTACGCTGCATTCGATTTACTAACCGCGTGCTTGCATGCTAAGTCCCTTTCTTTCAGTTGGTGGGCTTGCAATTTTGTCCTAATGCTTTTCTTTCTCAGATGAATGTCTACCAGTACTCTCTTCTAGAAACTTGCACACATCGCTTAAGCCAATTGTAGTTAATTTCGATAAAATGTTCGTGTTTGTGGCATTTCCGTAAAATATACTTTCTGACCTCGCGAACTTATCTCGGAATTGTTTGTAAACAACTTATCTCATATGCTCATTAATTTAAGATTAATGTCACCGTTTACTTATGCATTACTTGAATTATTTTATTTGTTATCTTTCACTCAAGTGATTGGCTGTTGCTTGATATCCCAGGTTTGGCTGCGCTTGATGTGCATGTTGACAAGGTGCCTACCTGTCTATTACCCACTACCTCGTCCATACTGGCTCCAGGAGACAGTTGGTCGTTGCTGGAGGGGACGTGGTGCACTGTCCTTGTGGCCGTGCTAGGCTCGAAGAGCGGTTCCATGCACTCAGTGTGGAGCGGACTACGGTCCAGCCACCGCCTTGTGTGCGATTGATTCCCCAAATACAGCGTGCTTGTGTTTGCTCGTGAAGGAGTGTGAGCCGGCTCCGTTGATGAAACGTGTCCCCCATGCACATGCCTCCCGGTCTTATTCCTTCGGGTTTACACACTGGATATGGGGTGTGTGGTTGGAGCTGTGGGTGGTGCAGCGCAAGCCACACATGGTCCCTCTGTAGGCGCAGGCGTCCTGTGACTGGGCACAATGACAGGCAAATCCGAAACCGGATGCCGCCAAGCATGTATGTATGTGTGTCCCATGCTGAGGCTGATGTTGCATTCACGATGCTTCTTCACCGCAGTTGGACTAAACCAACTTACACCTAAACTAGGTCTTTGTAAGCTGGATAAATTTCCTTCCACATCATTTGGTTTGTTCCGCCTACCGGAATAATCTTCTATTAACCATTGTGCGCTTTGTAGATTAAGACTGTGGTAACGGCGACAAGAGACAGGAGTTAGAGAATAAGTAGCGATAAGGTCGAGAGATCATATCGAGACACACAGTCAATATAGAAAGACTCCGAGTGGTGGCGGTGTAGTCAAACGTACTTAACAACTCCACGCACTCAAATAAATTCAAGCAGCTAATGTCTTGCATACATTCTCCTGCCTCAAAGTGTTGCTTGAAGCTCCAGCAGTGATTCCGACAGTTTCCAGGTCAAGTTCATATCATATGCCTTGCGTGTATACTGCTGTGATCGGGCCGTCTAGTAATGCTCTGAACTCAGACTTCGTCCTTAGAGCCTGTGCAGTACAGTTTTGTTTGCCACGATCCACACTAATGACTATTTCCGGTTGGCCTATACATTTGCATCCAGTCTTTGCAACGGATTTTGTAAGTGCGGCTGGTCATCTCGCCTGCTGGAAGTCAGTTATGTAAAAGGCACTAGCACTAAACGGGGCGTCTGGCCCAGTTAGATAGCTATTGGATTATCTTTGCTTGATACCTTCTGGATCGCTGTCGAAGCCTCTTCGTTAAAAGGAGTCCGTGCCATCCCAAAGAGCACAGTTGAGAACGAAACGGTCACTCATTGTCTTTCCTGAGTGTAGTGTCTATGTGACTGCATCTAGTTGCGACAAAGTTACTTACATCTGAAGGAGCTTTGTGGCGTGTTATTGGAACGACAGTGTGTTACAGAGAAACCTCGGGTTTGTGAGTGGAAAATGGCCAACGAGAATGACGCAGGGTGGAAGGTACACATCGTGTACCATATAGGTGACCATGGAAACCATTAAATTCATTGGTAGCTAAACTTACTTGAGCCTCGGAAGTGCGCAACTGGGTTTCGGAGAGCTTGATTTTCTCTTCCAATCTGTTTAGTTCGTCGCGTCTGTCACGAACGGAAGTTTCCAAAGAGGATAAACTGGAGAAAAAAGTAATCAGATGTTGATGGTTGTTTTCCTTCTCACAACAACTGAAAACGGATAAGCACGAATAGGTTGATAGACGAAGGCTGATGATGAGAAAGAACTCATAAGAGATTCAGAGAATGGTGATGCCAACCGATGGAACGTGCTAGTAAAAGACACCAAAAGCCGATAGTAAACTTCGATCACCTACCAAATGGAGACCTATCGTTGTTCGATCTCAAGGTTGTCCCGTGAAACGGGACGGAGATGACGCGTTTATGTCATGCTAGAAGACAGCGCCATATCACATGATTCATTGCCAATGCTTAAACACGAGCGTCTGTTAGAGTTTACGGCCGGTCAACTTCCAAAATGCGTTCTACGTTTTTCGCCCATGTAGGTGTTCATTATGAGAGGCCATAACGTTCACAAACGACCCATCATCATCATTATCACCGTTATTCCTTATGCACTTACAGCGGATTTACATTTTGTACTACGAATACCACGGTAAGTACACCGGTGTGAACCTAATTTTGCCGACAATTTTTCTACATTGTGAATTTTCACCAGGACCATCTTACGAGATCTGTTAGACCTTACCTTTTTTTACCCGTATCAAACCATTGTTCTATCGTAAACCGGCGGTAGCATTTAATATGGACGTCAAACCAGCTGTCTAGAGACCGCATGTAAAGGAGATCGGTGGAAGGATTGGCAATTCAGCCCACAGTAGATGTGACAGCAGAGACAAGTGCCAGACACAGCGACCATTCCTCGTGCGAACTATGGAAAATTTTCAGCTTCACAGATGACAGATGATGCAATCAAGTACAAACGGGTATCAGAGGCAAATCAAAATGCAACGGAACACGAAATGTTAGATCTGCATGACTGGCTTGACAGCAGGATATTGCATAAACCGTCAAACATCCCAGTGTTTCATAAGATAAGTGAATATTCAAATCAACAGTGCGATCGAAGCAGGCGGAAAGCATACGCGTCCTTCATTTGGAGAGGGTCATTCGAGGTCCGCTGCACCGCACGAGTCCCCGACTATTTGGACGAGAGCGGAAGCGGTCCAACGGACTATGAGAAAAACACGCACATACGCATGCGCCCGTGAAATACACTCACTCAGCATTTGACTGGCACGTTTTCTTCTGCTTCACTGAGACTTCCGTTGTCAAACGGTTAATTTCCGCCGATTGCTCCTGAAAGTGAACAGCGAGAAGTGGAGATGAGAAAGAAAGTTATTCATAACTGAAAAGTGGGGGGGGGCTAAACGTATGGAAGAGTGTGAATTACAATGCTAGAGAGAAGCGGGGGAACACAGTTAGGAGACCCGGTTACGCAACTATGAATGCATCAGAGTGCATAAGTGCAGACAGGACAAAAAAGTAGAATAAGTATAGAGAATGTATGAAAAAGAGGGATGTCTTGCACTTAAAAATCAAGGACATAATTCAGTGCAGTCAAGCTAAGAATAAGACTAAACGTCTATTGGAGAGGTCCAAACAATTGACTCGCACACAAGAGAGTATGTGCTCTTTGAACTAAGAAGGGCTGCAATCTATATAGACAGGAAAATGCTTACTAAAAAGCAGTAAAGCTCATTTCTCACACCCGAACAATTTGAAGCAGTGACAGGATCCCGAGAGGCGAGTAAGATCATAACCAAACCGTTGAAACTAATGCGTATGTGTCAAACGAGGAGGGCAGATTCAAATGCACCAACACACAAACAAAAAATGAAATGAAGACGGGCTGATATCTGTGCGTGACTCAGGGAAACCATGAAACGATGGGTGCACACGAACAGTACTAGAGTGGTGAGGTAGTCACACGAGATTGAGAGTTAGACGGCAATGATAAAAACAAGTGAAAAATGAGCTCACCTCTAATTGACTTTCTAGTTTACTCCTAACGTTTGAGGCCTGTCGTAGCTTCTTCTGAAATAGTCAATAAAAAACAGTAAATGATGGAAGAGAAAAATCGCAGGAATATGCAACACGACTTGTTTCTGGGACTGGCGATAAAGTCTGCCTCATCTGCAGACGTGTGACAAAAACACCATAATGCTATGCAAGCGGTTAAGTGAATTGTATTCAATGAATCCACTTCTGATAGGCAAGGAACAGTGCAAGAGTTGCATGCAACAATTGACTAAGTGAGATTTAGTTCAGTCATGAAGATGAGAAACATGATGCAAAGCGAACAAGTATCGCACCCCGTCTAACAGACCGAGTCGATCGTCTTCGCAGCAAACTCGTCTAAACACCATGGAGTAAAAAAAAGCAAAAACGAACGCGTGCTGTGAATCTATACGAATCCCCCAACATCATCAACATGATACACGTTAGCTAGGTGAGAAACACCTCAGCTACTGTGCCGCAATACATATAAAAAGGAGAAAAAATGCAACTGGTGCAAGCCAGCTGAACTACCGGTAACGGATGGGCATCGTTCCGGTAAGCTACCAGCCGGCTACTATGCATAAAAAAACTACTATGCAAAATTATATAAGGCTAAATAGTGAGATCGTGGTTGGAGGGGGAGGCTAAGAGGGATGGGGTGGGACAAAGAAACTCACAACACGAACGCCACCGAGGTCGGTTCCCTGCCATGTCAGCAAGTGTATCTAGCCAAACGTGTTCATCGTCTTTCGGACCCCAACCAGGGAGCCGTGAAGCTCCAACCGAGGCCAGCACAGAAGTGAGGGCCTTCATTCCTCTGGACCAAGTCATCGCTTGGCCACCCCTCCTCTTCTTCCATCCACATCCCCGGTGCGCAAACAAAACATGTCGCGGTAGTCGGTGGGCTGGCACGCGAACCCCATATGGATTAGTCAAATTTAAAGAACACAGTTGCACGGATGAGTGGACACATGCCACTGTTGTGAGCTACCTCAGGACAACTCCTTTATATGCTGCATATTTTAACCCCAAAACTGGTCACTCGATCGACACGTCAAACCAAGATTAATTTTCCATGCCACCACAGTGGAAGATGACAATTTGACTGCATCATCAGCCCAGATACCGGTCAACAAACAGCCTCAATATATATATATATATATATATATATATATATATATATAGGGTTTTCCCATAATTTCTTTCGTACTTTTGTTTTTTTCTCAGTTATTTTCTATTACAAATCGGGTCATTGCCAAGAGGCTGTGCGCGTGTTGCAGAATGTTTTAGAAAGTAGGTATAAAGGAGCACGCGCCGCGGGTTAATAAAATGCGAATCAAAATGAATCAGGGGCAGGTACGCTCGAGTATGATTTATGAATATAAGTTGGAGGCCAGTGTAAGGAATACGGCCGAGAAGATCAACACTGCGTTTGGGCCAGGTACTACTACAGATCGGACTGTGAGGCACTGGTTCAAGCACTTCGACGAAGGCGATACGAGCTATGAAGGACAACCTCACCTTTGACGAAGACGCTCTACGCCGCAAGCTCGAAGTGCATCCGGATGCTAGTACCAGGGATTTGGAGGAGATACTTGGATACCGCCGCAGCACCATCGCTCGCCATATAAATGATTGGCTACCGCAAAGTGTTGTCTCGATGGCACCTCATGCATTGACCGACCATGACTGCACTGGATCCGTGACCATCTGCGAAAGTCTTCTGCTGCGACCGCACAGACAAGCCTTCCACAAGTCGGTCAACACTAGAGACGAGTCCTGGGTCTACTACGAGAACAACACGCGCCACGCGTACTAGCTGTCTCGCGGCGAAGACCCGCCAGCTCAACCAAAGCTCGAGTTCCGGGCTCGGAAGATTATGCTCTCGGTTTTCTGGGATTGGCAGGGCATGATGTTTTGGGAATCGCTAGACGACAAGCAGACAATCAATGAAAAGGTCTACGGAGGGGAACGGAAGTTGGCCACAGGAGTGAGAGAGCTGGCTAGCTTAACAACCTCTCTGTGGTGCCAGCTGGGTAGTTCGGGTTAATCCCGTTCAAGCGAATAGTTCGGCGACAGTGTTCCAGGACGAGATGGGTTTTCGCTTGGCAAGCGTTTTCCCTATAAAAAGCCATAAACCTCTCATTAACAACACTGCGACGTGGCGGATATGACACGCCAATAAATAAAGTCACTGCCTCTTCCCCTTCTGGAGGATCCCCACTTCACGAACGTCATCCAGTTCGAAAAGTTCCTTTGCTCCCTTTATACGATGGCGAACACAGCAAACAAACTCAGTCACACTTCACAAATTCACCATGAGCACTAACACAGACACTTACATATATACACATACAAATCCAGTATGTTACTGGTTAACTTGCTATATTTCTATACAATTAACGACCATACCTGTTTGTATTATCATGATTTTGCATTCGCAGGCGCGCCACACACTGCCGGAAATAAAACATTAATAGAAGCGTCCGAAACGACAGTGTCGCCCTTCTACAGGATAACGCTCGACCTCTCATTGCAAAGTCGACTCGCCACATTTTGGAGAAACCGGGCTGGACCACATCCATATTATAGCCCTGATTTGCTTCATAGGATAATCAACACTTCCGCACTATAAAACAGGATCTGCGAGAGAAAAATTAAAGAATAACGACCAGCTCAAAAGTAACCTCACCGACCTCTTTGACCATCCGCTTCAGCCTTTCTGGAAGGCATCCAAGCTTTGCCCAGTTAATGGTTGCATACAACTGATCATGATGTTAATTATATGGTTGATTAATTGAGTTCTTTAAATAAATAACGATTGAATTAACAAGTGAAGAAATAAGAAATTATAGGATAACTCTCTATCTATCTATCTATCTATCTATATATATATTTATATACAGAGAGAGAGATAGAGTTACCCTACAATTTGGACACACTTGCCGATATGGCTAGGAGCTGACCTTAGTGGCGTTCGTCCTGTGAGTTTCTTTGTCCCACCCCATCCCTCTTAGCCTCCTCCTCCAACCAGGATCCCATTATTTAGCCTTATATAATTTTGCATAGTAATTTTTTCTTGATGCACAGCAGCCGGCTGGTGGCTTACCGGAACGATGCTCATCCGTTACCCGTAGCTCAGCTAGCTTGCACAAGTTGCATTTTTTCTCCTTTTATATGTATTGCGGCACAGTAGCTGAGGTGTTTCCCACTAGCTAACGTGTATGATGTTGTTTTTGGAATATATATATATATATATATATATATATATATGTGGTTGGCGGCATTCGGTTTCGGATTTGCCTGTCATTGTGGCCAGCCACAGGACGCCTGCGCCTACAGACGGACCATCGGTGGCTTGCGCTGCACCACCCACACACCCCATATCCAGTGTAAACTCGAAGGAATAAAACCGGGAGGCATGTGGATAGGAGCCACATTTCATCAACGGAGCCGGCCCACACTCCTTCACAGACAAACATAAGTACGCTGTATTTGGGGAATCAATCGCACACAAGGCGGTGGCTGGACCGTAGTCCGCTCCACACTGAGTGCATGGAACCACTCTCCGGTCCTAACACAACCACAAGGACAGTGCACATCGTCCATCTAGCAATGACCAACTGTCTCCTAGAGTCGGTATGGACGAGATAGTGGGTATTAGACAGGTAGGCACCTTGTCAACATGCACATAAAGTGCAGCCACATGGGGATATCAAGCAACAGCCAATCACTTGAAACGACAAGAAGCAAGAAAATAAATCGGGTAATGCATACAGATACGGGGACATAACTCTTCACTAAATGAGCGTATAAAAATGATTACGAACCAATCCGCGATAAGTTCAAGAGGTCAGAAGACAAACTTTAAGAAAATGCCACAAACGCGAACATGTTATCGAAATCAACTACAATTAGCTTAAGCGATGTGTGCAAGTTTATAGAAGAGAGTACTGGTAGACATTCATCTGAGAAAGAAAAGCATTAGGACATAATTGAAGACCCAACACCTGAAATAGAGGGACTTAGCATGCAAGCACGCGGTTAGTAAATCAAATGCAGCGTACTTGCAAACGCTGCGCCGGTTCTGTCTACGTTCTCTGCAGGACCCATCGTCGTTTCGGTAGTGGTCCCGAGTGGCCTCGCTCATGGCACACTATGCCTGTCTGACTCAGGCACTCGCGACCGCAAGTGCTACAGCACCATGACCTCGATGTCGATGGAGTACAACCCATCGGCGCTTGCCTCCGCACTTGCCGCTTCTTCTCTGCATGTATGAGGTCTTTCTCCCGCACTTCGGCAACTGCCTTCGTGATTAGATCGCGCCATGCATTCCGATCAACTGCCTTCGATTCCCATGACCTGCAATCAAGATTAGAAGGTGAGAGGCTCACTTTGATCATGTCCTGGTAACGTAACTTTGGTTTCCCCACATGCCGCTTCCCAATACTCAGCTGACCATATAAGAGTTGTTTCGGTATCTGCGTCGAGTCAATACGGCTCACATGACCCAGCCACCTCGGGTGTCTCAGCAAAAGTATGCAGTCCACTGCATACATCCCACTTCGTCGCGACTCTTCCGTATCAGCAACTGGCGCACCAACCGATGCGCAAACTCCGTCGCAAACACTGCTGATGGAACCGCTCGAGATATCGCACATCCCGCCGGTACATCGTCCACGTTTCACTGCCGTATAGAAGAACGGACAGTACCATGGATTTGTACACCATCAGCTTCGTGCCAACGGTAAGCTGATGGTTGTTCCACACTCGGTACTCAAGCTTCCCGAATGCCACCGCTGCCATCGACACGCGAATACGCAGCTCACTGTGTAGCTGCTGATCAGTCGACATCACACTCCCAAGGTAGCAGAAGCGGGAGGTGGTTTCCAATACTTCAGCACCAATGCTGATTTGCGGCAATATTGAAGATTGCACCTCCGGTGAAGGCTGAAAGAGACAGACAGTTTTGCTTGTGTTGATAGTGAGCCCGAATTTGGCCGCTGTCGAAGCCAGAGCACTAGTCATGTGCTGCA